CAAGGCCAGGTTGGATGGAGCTCTGAGCACCCTGGTCTGGTGGAAGATGTCCCTGCTCATGGCAGGGGAGTTGGAACCAGATGATCTTTAAGGTCCCATCCAATCCAAACCATTCTATGATTCTATGATTCTATGTGTAACTGAAGCAGAAAATGCTCCCAGCAGAGTTGGGTGAGGTACAGACTGAAACCTGGTCACCTCGGACAAAAGGAAAAGCCTAAAAAGCCCTTCCTAGAAGTGACAGAAAAGAGAGGAGCAGTGTGCCCTGACTTTTCAGCATGTGAAGAAAAAGGAACATGCGGGTCTCGGTCACTGGTACCTCTTGGAACGGCTCTGGGTGCGATCGGTGCCTGCCGGGTTTCTTCCCTCACGGATTAGGGCTACAGGATTAACCTCAACGTTGCGTTTCAGTGTGGGAAACACACAGCGCTGCAAGGAGAATGACAAAGGGACCATCACCCCCTGCGAACGCACCTCCAGCACCTTCTTGTTGAATAAATGTGAAAGGAGTGACTGAAATCAGTGTCTATAAGGAACAACTACATTTATTTCCAGGTCTGGAGGTTTTTGCTGAGCGTGTCAGCACAGATGCTGATGCCTGCAATTCCTAATGGTGGAAAATACTTTTGGAAAATACTGAGTGAAGCTTGTAACCTCTGCTGTCTCCACACAAACCCCGGTTCTGCAGGCTCTAAGAAGGCATTCATGTCTTTCCTTCCTCTTCATCCTTGGGATGGGTGAGACCCATGCTCAGAATCTCTCCCTGGAGAGGATGGAATGGAAATAGAGGGGTAGTGTTTAGTTTGTGATGGTATTTTGGAGTGTCAAACGTCCGGGGAGGAGAGGGATCCTTTTGGAAAGCCAATTACAATTCAGAAACCTCGGCCATAGCTCCAGTTATTCTACAGCAGATGATCCCAAAGGGATGTATTGCCGACACCAACCACCAGAAGAAAACTTGTTGTGGGATGAAGCAGAAAAATGCCGTTCCACGTCTGGAACACGGGCAATTCAGGGCAGTTGGTGAAGAGAAATGTCGGGTCTCTCCTGAGTTTGGCACCTTGCAATGCTCAGCCTACCTTGGCTCTTCCGCGCCCGTGGGAGCGATGCATGGTGGACCTGGCCAGCCCAGGCACGTGTGGGGACTGATGCCAACAGAGACCAGGGATCGTGCCCGTCGTGTCAAGGGTGACCGCGACCACCGTGTCCAGGGTGGTCTCCGCACCAGCCAGCTCCCCCACGCAGATCTCGGGGCTGGGTCCCTGAGCAGAGCTCCCCAATGGGGTAAAGCCAATGCTCATGGTAAATAGACACAGAACAGAAGCAGCCTGCGTTTCTGTCCCGCTGTGATCTATTAATCGCTGCAGCTTGGAAGAACGAAGGCGGAGATGATGGTCTGGGGAGTTGTGAACCAAACTCAGACCCGGGCTGAATCAGCAGAGATCCTTCCATTCCAGAGGGAAACCATCTCGGGATTGCTCTCCCTGCTTCGCTCGCAGCGTGCAGAGCTGCTGAGCCCGGGGCTGTGCGGAGCTGG